TGCTGTGATAAACATACATGTGCAGGTGTCTTTTTTATAGAGTGATTTGAGTTCTTCAGGGTATATTCCCAGTAGGGGAATTGTGGGGTTATATGGAAGGCCAATTTTTAGAGCTTTTAGGAGTCACCACACTGATTTCCACAGAGGCTGTAGTAGTTTACACTCTCACCAACAGTATAGACGTGTTCCCTTTTTGCCACATCCTCTCCAGCATCTGTTATTTGGTGAGTTATTAATAATTGGCCTACATTCTAATTGTCTTATTTGCAGGGTGGTAACATGGAGAGATTATCACTGTGATGGGTTTCTATTATAGGTGTTCATTTTTTACATCTCTTTTTTCTGATTTCATAAATAATACAGACTCTCACCATAAATTTTCAGGCATCCCCTAACATGTGAACTAATTTTTTGCTTTACTGTAGAGACGAGGTCTCACTAAGTTGCCCAGGCTGGTCTTGAACCCCGGGACTTGGGCAATCCTCTCTCCTTCGCCTCCCAAAGTGCGGAGCCTGCAGGCATGAGCCAGCATGCCCGGCTAATAATGAACTTTCAATGAGCAGTTCTTGAATGAATGAAATACTAAAGTAGACAATGCGGAAAGCCTCTCTTACTTTACCCTCCAGAAATTAAGATTTTTCTCCATAGGCATTAAACAAACAAATACAGCCACGCTCCCCTTACAACAACTGATCCAACAGGATCAGTTCTGAGAAATGCATCATCAGGCAATTTCATCGTTGTGTGGACATCACAGAGTGACTTACACAACCGTAGATGGTCTAGCCTATGACACGCCTAGGCTGTACAGGGTAGTCTGTTGCTCCTGAGTTCCAAACCTGTCCGGCGTGTGACTGTCGTGCACACTGTAGGCAGCTGTAACACAATGAACGGGAAGTGTTTGGGATTCTGAACTGAGAAAAGGTACACTAAAATATGGTGTTGCAACCTTACGGAACCACTGTGGCTGTGCGGTCCACCATGGACTGACGTGTCATCATGCAGAGTATGGCTATGTATGTTGCCATGCAGCTTTTTTTTTTTTTTTTTTTTTTTTTGAGTAGGAGTCTCACTCTTGTCACCCTGGCTGGAGTGTAGTGACACGCTCACTGCCACTGCAGCCTCGACCTGCTGGGTTTAGGTGATCCTTCCGCCTCAGCCTTCCAAGTTGCTGGAACTACAGACGCACGCCACCATGCCAGTTAGTTTTTGTGATTTAGTGTAGAGACAAGATCTCACCAAGTTGCCCAGGCTGGTCTCAAACCTCCAGCCTCAGGCAATCCTCTCGCCTCGGCCTCCCAAAGTGCTGGGATTACAGGCTGAGCCACCGCACCCAGCCTTGCTGTATATCTCTAAGGATGAGACAAGCCCACTTTAGCTATTGCTCCATGTCAGCTTTCCCACGGGAGTGGTATCCGGCATGTCCTTCCGAGACTGCGCACGTGGGATGGCTGTTCTGCATCTTGTGACAGAGACACAGTCTGGTTAGCTGAGGCCGGGGTTGGCATGCATCTTGAGGTCGTGGGGGTTGTGGGGACAGGTGCTAGGTATGTCAAAGCTGGAGAGAAATATCACTTTCCACCCTGTGATGATAGATGGGGAAACTGAAGGGGGAAAAATGACAGGGGAACAAGGGCTGGGAGCAAACCCCACTCCACTTACCCCCATGCTGAGTCTTCCGTCTTGTCCTGGCTTCTTGGAGAGAAATGAAAATGCCAAACTTACCCTTGCGGACATTCCAGTGTGGTGAGTCTTGCCCAGAGTGATGGGCCTGACAGCAGGGCTGGTCTTTGCAGCCTGCAGGAGCGGTCACACCGCCACATGCCAGTGACCTCACGTCATCTCTGTTCCTCCCAGCTGCCGCAGGGAGACCTGGATGTCCTGTTCTCCAACATCGACGACATCATCAAGGTGAGCAGCAGGTTTCTCCATGGTCTGCAGGAGACAGCCTCCGCGGAAGGGGATCGAGTGCACCTGATTGGTAAGCAGAAGACCGAGGAGTCATCAGCCCTGATGCCTGGGGGAGCGTCCTTAAATGTGTCCATTGCTGAGCTGTCTCCAGAGCCCAGGGAGACGCAGCTCCATAAGGATCCACTTGGGGATTGCAGAGACAATACGGGAGAGCCAGCAGCCCCTCAATGTCAAGTCCAGTCCCATCATGTGATACAGACTGAGGTCCAGAGATGGGGATTGAGGGGAAGTGAGGGTAAAGGGATCCTCACGATCACATGATTGCTGGGGGTACAGCTCTGGGTCTCAAGTCTGAGTCTCTTTCACATTCATTCATTCAGCAGTTACATACTGAGCGCTGGCTGCATATAGTCGCCATGCGGTGTGCTGGGGTTACAGCATCAACAAGTATCTATGCTTCTGTCCGCATGGGGTCAGCATGGGAGTGAGAGGCAGAAGATAAACAGATAAACAGATGTTAGGTCATGATTTGTAACTTGAAGAAAATAACCAGTCGCAGTAGGTAGCAATGAAAGAGGAGGCGGCGGAGGGAGCATGTGAGCTGCAAGCTGAGTGTCAGGAAGGAGCCAGCCGTGAGGATATCCGGAGGAAGAGAGAGGGCAGAGCTGTGCAAAGGTCCGGGGGCAGGGATGAGCCTGGGATGTTTGAGACAAGTAGAGGCTGATGTGGTTCCAAGGGAATGAGTGATTGCCCAGTGTCAGGGAGGAGATGGAAGAGGCAAGAAAGGATCAGACTACACAAGGCTTTGCAGGCCATGGTGAGGAGTCGAGACTTTGTTCCAAGTGTGATGAAGCCATCAGATGATTTTGAGTGGAAAGTGACAGGGTCCTACATTTGCTTTTCTTTCTTTTTTTTTTTTTTTGAGTTGGAGTCTCACTGTGTCAAATAGGATGGAATACAGTGGCATGCTCATGTCCACCCCAGTGTCCACCTGCTGGGCTCAGGCAATCCTTCCCCCTCAGCCTTCCAAGTAGCAGGAACTACAGGCGCGCGCTACCACGCCTGGCTAATTTTTTGATTTATTGTAGAGATGAGGTCTCACCAAGTTGGCCGGGCTAGTCTCGAACCCGCAGGCTCAGGCAATCCACTCTCCCCGGCCTCCCAAAGCGCCGGGGTTACAGGCTGAGTCACTGAACCCAGCCCACAAACACATCTTAAAACCCACGTTCTGAGTGTTTTCTAAGCGCTGGGCACCGCTGTGGTAGACTTGTATTAACTTGCCCCATCTTCCTGATAACTCTGAAAGGTAGGCACTGTCATCTTATTTATGGTTGAGGAAACTGAGGCAGAGAGAGGGGAAGTGGCCTGCCGAAGGTGAAGCAGCTAGTGGCAGAGCCAAGATCTGATGCAGGCGCTTGGCCGGGAGTCAGGGCTCTCCTTCCCTGCCACTGTGTTGTATCCACGTGACGGAGGGTGCAGTGGAATGATGCAGGCCTTTCCCCAGAAGTCAAGGCTCTCCCTGGCTGCTGAGCCGTAGCCACTTGGTGGAGGGCAAGGTGCCAGCCTGCCTACGGCGTGTTTATCCCTTCTTTGAAAATGCTATTCTTTATAAAATGGCTGTGTGAGTGAACTGGCATTCCCTGTAAGTGGTCCCTTAATACTAAATTAAAGAACAAGGTTTTTTGCTGGGTGTGGTGGCTCAACGCCTGTAATCCCAGCACTTTGGGAGGCTGAGGTGAGAAGATTGCCTGAGTCCAGGGGTTCAAGACCAGCCTGGCAACTTGGCGAGATCTTGTCTCTACAATAAATTAAAAAAAAAAAAAATTAGCCAGTCGTGGTGACATGTGCTTGTGGTTCCAGCTACTTGGAAGGCTGAGGCAGAAGGATCGCCCAAGCCCCGCAGGTTGAGGCTGCAGTGGCCATGAGAGTGCAGCCTGGGTAACAGAGTGAGACTCCAACTAAAAACAACAACAACAGCAACAACAAACCAAGATTTTAAAAAATACCTGTAGATGTTCTCACTTTTCATCATTTGATCCTTATTTCAGTGAAAAATTAACACTTGTTTGAGTGGAGATTGATATCATCTCAGACCGAAGACTTTACTGTTGAACCCACTAGATCCCAGATCCTATTTCACCATGGAACCAGTGTAAAAATCATCCAGTAGCTATTTCACTTCTGTTGTGTCTAAGTCTTTGGATTGAGTGTGTGTCAACAGCACCTCTGAACTGGGTTCTGCCGCATTTTGAGTGCCCCGTGACTGTGTGTGGCTGGTAACTCCCATGTCTGAGCCCTGCAGGTCTGGAGATGATAGTACGGGCTGCGGAATCTGACTGACAAGCCCCTGCCACCCACATGTCCCTGTCCCCGAGTCCCAGTTCTGCCTCTTGAAGATGAGCATGAACACAGCACAGGGGCCACGCTGATCTCTCTGTTGTTGCTACTTTAGTGTAAGCACTAAGGTGATCTTGGCTCATTCCTGTCATCCCAGTGCTTTGGGATCCCCAGGCGGGCAGATGGTCTGAGACCAGGAGTTCGAGACCAGCCTAGGCAACAAAAGTGAGAAAGTGAGACCCTGTCTCTGCAAAAAATTTTAAAAATTAGCCTGTACTGCCAGTTACTCAGGAGGCTGAGGCTGGAGGATCCCTTGAGCCCAAGAGGTTGAGGCTGCAGTGAGTTAGGCTCACACCACTGCACTCCAACCTGTGCAACAGAGCCAGACTCTGACTCTTAAAAAAATAATGAATACAAAATAAAAGAAAATAAATAAAAAGGAGAAAGCCAAATAGAATCTGGACGTTTTCCCACGCCTCACTTGCTGAGACCAACATGGCCTGTGCTCCATCACTGCTTGATTCTCTGCTGTCCACCCTCGCTCACTCTTGTTCCAGCTCGTGGTCCTGCTATGGCCCTCATGCCAGACTCACCTGCCTCAGGGCCTTTGCACTTCCTTCCCTAGCCCTGGAGCTGTCCCGGGGTGGGTTGCCCAAGGACATGTCCTCCTGGAGACCTCCCCAGCAGATCCCCGTCTGTGACTCTATGTGGCCTCACTTTAGTTCATGACACTTACCCCCTAATGTGTGTCATTTGTCTGTTCACTGTCCTTCTACCTTCCCCACTGGAACAGAAGTTGCCTGGGACAGGGTTTGGTTCTGTTCACTGAACCTGACTGAATGCCTGGCACACAGCCCATCAACGTGCAGTGGGCAAATATTTGGCAAGTGTAGTTTGTGTCAGGTGCATTATTTTATTTAATTCCCACATAAGCCATGAGAAGAATTATTTTTATTCCCATCCTAGAGATGAGAGAATGGAAGGTCTGAGGGGTCAGATGCTTGCCCGGGTCCCCTGACTGGGAAGGGGTTGCTGAAGGTCTGGCCCTGTTCTCACAGATGCTGGAGCCTACACCCAGAAGACCTGTGCCTGTGGCTGTGGTCTGTGCTCACCACGCATGGCTGGTCATAAAGATAAAGTGAGTGACGTCATGCGTGTGTTTGGTGCACTGTCAAGCACTGCCCACGTGTAAGCACCATTTATTATTATTCTATTTTTTATTTTATTATTTCAGTAGAGATGGGTCTCACTTTGTAACTCAGGCTGGTCTTGGAACTCCTGGCCTCAAGTGGTCCTCCCATCTCGGCTTCCCAAAGTACTGGGATTACAGGTGTGAACCACCACACCATGCCATGGCTCAGCATTTATTAAGTGCTCATATGGCAGGACTTTACAGAGAGTCAAGACACCGAGACCAGGAAGCAGTTTTATTTGTGCCGGATTTGTTTGGATTTACATCCAAAGGCTGCACACAGAAGGGCATTGTCTTTTATGCAATTTTAGCTTTTTTGTCCTTCCGATAAGGCTTACATGTTAGTAACATACAGGCTAATTGGGTATTTCACAGTTCATGGTTACAGCAAAGTTATACATGCATGCTACAGATTGGGGCTACCTTCCTTTCTAATATGAATCTTCCAAGAAAGTTCTTACCTTATGGTGCTAGAAAAACTCTTTCATTATTCTGGGAAGGCTTTTATCTTACTGTGCTAGGGGGCCCCTACTCTGTCCTGGGACGGTCTTCATCTTATTAGGCTTGGGGAAAGGGCTCCCTGCCTATCTCACAGTGGGACTGCCTGAGCTGCCTGTCATCTTGTCACTCAATCCTCACAGCAACCTGATGAAACTGAGCTGAAAAACACAGAAAGTCAGGAAGCTAAGGTCGCCAGCCCACAGTGACATACTGGCTAGGCCCAGCAGTCTCAAGGCAGAGCTGGTGGGGCACATGTCCCTCCTCCCTGTCCCGAGCCAGGGGACGGGCAGATGCACCCTCGTTAACCCCTTGTTGCGTATCTGCCCTCAGGTGATTTATTCCTGGAATTCCAGGAGGAGTTGGAGCGCGTCTACAAGGTCTACTGTGCAGGCTACGACCAGGCCTTGCTGCTGGTGGAGGCGTACCGAAGGGACCCACAGCTGCAGCGGCAGATTCAGGGCGTCCTTGGGGCAGCCGTGTGAGTACAGTGGCCAGTGGCGCTTGGCCTGCCGGACCCACGCCGGCGGCTGCAGTCCCACCCCACCTGGTGCCACCCGCGCGGGGCGTGGTGTCACTGTCATTCAGGACGGGGCAGGCTATGTCAGAGACAAGCAGCACCCTCATCTCAGTGGCTTCTGACATGGGTTCTGGCCTCTGCCATCCATCACCTGGGACCCGAGTTCCCAGCTGCCGCTGTCTGGAACATTCCAGGTAACTGCAGCGGGGAAGAAAGAGCTCTGGAGGGTCTCGGATGGTGGGGACAGGCCCCAGTCCAGAATGACACCCTCACTGCTTGATTCACGGGTCAGGACTAGGCACAGCTTCGGCCCATGACAGGAAGGCAGGGTGCTGTGCTCCCACGTGCCCAGGGAAAGGCAGACGCATCTGGGGAACACGCTGATGGCGGGTGCAAGGAAGGGCAGTGAGACGGTGGGAACCCTGAGCTGTGCGCAGAGTGAGGGGGCAGGTGTGTGTCACCCGAGGAGCCCTGCACAGATGACTGAAGTCCCACCACATGGAAAAGGGTCCGAACTGCCCTGGAGACTCAGCCTGGACCTGGCATCGGTGGGTGGAGCTTTAGGTAGAGAAATGGAGGACTGGAGGAAACTTTTTAAAAAATTTAAATGTTGACATGGATAACATGATTACATGATTCAAACACCAACATTTATATAAGAGGCTGGGCACGGTGGCTCAGGCCTCTAACCCCAGTACCCTGAGAGACCGAGGCGAGAGGATTGCCTGAGGTCAGGAGTTTGAGACCAGCCTGGGAAACATGGTAAGACCCTGTCTCTACATAAATGAAAATAAAAGAAATTAACCAGGCATGGTGGTGCACCCCAGTAGTCCCAGCTACTCAGGAAACTAAGGCAGGAGGACTGGCTGAGCCCAGGAGGTTGAGGCTGCAGTGAGCTATGATCATGCCACTGCCCTTCAGCCTGGACAACAGAGTCAAACCTTGTCTCAAAAAAAAAAATTTTTTTTTAATTTATACAAAAAGAAAATCTTTCTAACCCCATCCCTTCATCCACCCTTAAAGTGAAGGTAACAACTTTTAAAGGAACATGTCTTTGTAGAGTTTCTCTTTGCATATATAAGCCATCATAAATATACACTCTTATTTCCTCACCTTTTACTTATTTATTTTATTTTTGTTTTTTGCGATGGGGTGTCGTGTTACTTTGTCACCCAGGCTGGAGTGCAGTGGCACAATTACGGCTCACTGCAGCCTCGACCTCCTGGGTTCAGGCGATCCTTCTGCCTCAGCCTCCCAAGTAGCTGGGAAGACAGGCACATGCCACCATCACCATGTCTGGCTAATGTGATTTTTTTGTAGAGATGAGGTCTCACTGTGCTACCTAGGCTGGACTCAAACTCTTAGGCTCAAGCAATCCTCCGGCCTCCCAAAGTGCTGGGATTATAGGCGTGAGTCACTGCACCTGCCCTCCCCTCCCTGCTCCCACCACCCCCCGCCTTTTAAATGAAAACTCGTATCTTTTACATTTTACTTACAAGTATGTATATACATGTATCTTGGAGACCTTTCCATTTCAACACATAACATTCATGACAGTCGAACTCGCCAACCAGGTGGTGTTCCCTGGTTTACTTAACTGGCGTCTATTGATGGCATTTGGCTTGTTTCTAGTCTTTTGATATTATAGACAGTGCCAAAGTGATTGTTGGTGAATATTTGACATTTTACTCTGGTGCAAGTACCTCTGTAAGGTACATTTCCAGAAGCAAAATTGCTGGGTCAGGGGAACTCTGTATTGATAATTTTTTTCCTTTGTTTTAATAGCTTGGGAGGGCACACATGGTCTTTGTCTGGGCTTCACGTGTAACCTCCACCCCCATCTGTGCACATTGTACCTGATAGGTATTTCTTCAATCTTTTCCCCTTCTCACTCTCCCTCTTATAAGTCTCCAGTATCCATTATTCCATTCTCTATTCCTTTGCAGATCACTTGGGAGTGAGAACACATGGTGTTTTGGTTTTCTGTTCCTGTATTCGTTCACATAGGACGATGTTCTCTGACTCCAATCACGCAAAAGACATTATTTCATTCTTTTTGACAGCTGAATAGTATTCCATAGTGGATACGAGGGAGGACCCAAAACACCAGAACTATCTTTTGGAGGGAAAGCCCCTTGTAGTACACTCGGAACTTGTTCCTCTGGGATCAAATGGCCAAGCAAAGTTTTTATCTGGGAGTTTTGAGAAGGTTGTGTCACGATTTGCAGAAGAAATGTCCCGATTTGTGGCAAACAGGTGACTGGTTCTTCTGCCGTGGCAATGTGCTGCCCACACCGTGATGAGTGTTCAGCAGTTTTTGACCCAAAACGACATAACCCATGTATCTCACCCTCCCTATCCGCCCCCATCTTGCCCAGAATGACTTTTTTCTGTTATTTCCTCGAATGAAAAAAGTTCTCACAGGAAAACATTTTGCCAATGTGGAGGAGCTGAAACCAAAAATAGCAGAGGCACTGACAGGCATCAAAATCGATGAGTTCAAAAACTGTTTTGAGCAGTGGAAAAAGCATCTCAATAGGTGTATGGCATAAAATGGAGAGTACTTTGAAGGGGACTGAAGTTTAAACATGTAAGAACAAATACACAATTTTTAATACATAACTTCCGGTTTGGGGAGCACGCTCTCATATACACCACATTTTCATCATCCACTGATCAGATGATGGGCATTCAGTTTGATTCCACATCTTTGCAATTGTGAATTGTGCTGCAATTGTGCTTTTTCCTATATTGACCTCTGTTCCTTTGGGTAGATACTTAGTAGTAGGATTTGTGGATCAAATGGTGGATCTACTTTTAGTTCTCCATAAAAAAAAAAATCTCCATACCAATTTCTATAGAGGTCATACTAATGTACACTCCCACCAACAGTGTATAAGGGTTCCCTTTTCTCAGCATCCATGCCAGCACCTACTGTTTTTTGCTTTTTTAATTGTGGCTATTTTAACTGGTGTAAGATGATATCTCGTTGTGGTTTTGATTTGCATTTACCTGATGATGAATGATATTGGTCATGTTTTCATATGTTTGTTGGCCATTTGTATATCTTCTTCTGAGAGATGTCTGTTCATGTTGTTTGCCCACTTTTTATGGGGTCATTTGCTTTTTTTCTTGCCGATTTGAGTTCTGTGTAGATTCTGGATATTAGTCCTTTGTCAGGTGTTTAGTTTACAAATATCTTCTCCCATTCTGTAGATTGCCTATTTGCTCTTTTGAGTATTTCTTTTGCTGTGCAGAAGCTTTTTAGTTTAATTAAGTCTCACTTATTGATTTTTGTTTTTGTTGCATTTGCTTTTGAGGTTTTAACCATACATTCTTTGCCTAGGCCAATGTCCAGAAAAGTTTTTCCTAGGTTTTCTCCCAAGATTTTTACGGTTTCAGGTCTGTCGTTTAAGTTTTTAATCCATCTTGAGTTAATTTTTGCTTATGAGGAGAGAAAGGGATCAAGTTTCATTATTTTGCTTGTAGCTACTTAATTTTCTCAATACCGTTTGCTGAATAGGATGTCCTTTCCCCCACTGTATGTCTTTGTCTGCATCAACAATCTATTGGTTCTAGGTATTTGAGTTTATTTCTGGATTTTCTATTCTGTTCCATTGGTCCATGTGTCTGGTCCTGTACTAGCACCATGCTGTTTTGGTGACTACAGCCTTGTAGTATAATTTGAAGTCAGGTAACGTGTTGCCTCCAGCTTTGTTCTTTTTGCTTAGGATTGCTTTGGCTATTCTGGCTCTTTTTTGGCTCCATAGGAATTTAAGGGTTGTTTTTTCTAATTCTGTGAAAAATGACGTTGGAAGTTTGATAGAGATGGCATTGAATCTGTAAATTACTTTGGGTAATATGGTCATTTTAGCAATGTTGATTCTTTTAATCCATGAGTGTGGGATGCTTCTCCCTTTGTGTGTGTCCCCTGCAGCTTCATTCATCAGAGATTTGTAGTTTTCCTTGTAGAGATCTTCCACCTCCTTGGTAAATATATTCCTAGATATTTTAGCTTTTGGGCTGCTGTTGTAAATGGAATCAAGTTCTTAATTTGATTTTCAACTTGGTCGTTATTGGTGTATAGCAGTACTGCTGATTTGTGTGTATTGATAATTTTGGTAAACTTCGTCACATTTCCCTCTATAAAACCCATATCAGTTCACATTCTTGTCCACAGCGTACATGGTGTCAATTTCCCACAGTCTGGCCAGAGTGTGTTTTCAAACTTCAGAATATTGGCTCCTGGAATGGATGAGAAATGTTGTCTCAGTGTGGCAGTAGATGAAGTCGTTTTCTGGAAATCTGAGGAGTATAGGAAGAGCAGACGTTATCATTACTATGATTAATTCATCCTACTCAGACATCCCATTTATTTATTTATATTTTAATTGATTTTTTTGTAGAGGCAAGGTCTTGCTATGTTGCCCAGGCTGGTCTCAAACTCCTGGACTCAAGAAATCCTCCTTCCTCAGCCTCGCAAAGTGCTGGGATGATAGGCAGGAACCACCACGCCCGGGTCAGACATCCCTTTTATACCTGAGAGAAAGACAGTGTAGACGTAGGTGTTTGAGGACAAGATACTCTCATGTGGATTCTCCTCCTACCTCCCCTCCGCCTCTCCCTCCTTGTCCTCACCCTTCAATCCCTTCCTGGCCCCAAAGTCTCCTCTTCAAGAACACATGTCTTAGCCCCTCTCTGCCTCCAACAACCCATGCTCATTTCCCCCTTTATTCATCCCTTCATGGGGCTCACACACTTAGGCTTTTGCGAGGGTCACCAAATATATTCTACAGGAGTGAGTCAGATTACAGAGATGAGGAAAGCAGGCGCCAGGTGTGGGACAAAAGGGAGGAGTGGAGACCGGCAAACCGAAGACAACAGACCGTGTATAGAGAATAGGTACAGTGCAGCCTTATCTGACGGTTACTGTATCAAGTAGCTTTTGCTAGATGACAAACCATCCCTACTCACAGTGGCTTAAAATAAATATTTACTGGCCAGGAGCAGTGGCTGAAGCCTGTAATCCCAGCACTTTGGGAGGCCATGGTGAGAGGATTGCCTGAGCCCAGGGGTTTGAGACCAGCCCAGGGCAACTTGGCGAGACCTTGTCGCTATAATAAATTAAAAAATCATCCGGTGTGGTAGCATGTGCCTGTAGTTCTGGCTACTGGAAGGCTGAGGAAGAAGGATTGTCTGAGTCCAGCGGGTCAAGGCTGCAGTGACCGTGAGCATGCCACGGCACTTTAACCTGGGCAACAGAGTGAGACTCTAACTCAAAAAAAAAACCCCAAACAAATATTTACTGAGTTCATGCCGCTGCATATCAGCACTTTGGCTGTGCTCAGAAAGTGATTCTTATGGTTCTGTCTGAGCAACCTCATGTGTCTACAGTGACCTACAGGTCAGCCTTGCTGATCTTGGCCAGGCTTTGTCATGTGTCTTTGGTCACATAGTCCCTCCTCTTCCTGCAGGCTGGCTCATTCATATGAGGGTCACAGGGTTCTTAGGGTGGGGAAAAGCAGCCAGAGGTCTCAGCTTTTGAAGGGCTCCCACCTACTTCTCCCATTCTCAGCCTCATGGCTGAGCTTTCTCGGGCATCAGGGCTGGAAATTTTTCCTTAGGAAGAAGAGGTAAAAGGCAGGGGTGCCGGGCTTGGTGGCTCAGCCTGTAATCCCGCGCCTTTGGGATGCTGAGGTGAGTGGATTGTCTGAGCCCACGGGTTCGAGACCCACCTGGTCAACTTGGCGAGACTTCATCTCTACAATAAATCAAAAAAATTAGCCAGGCGTGGTAGTGTGTGCCGGTAGTTCCAGCTACTTGGAAGGCTGAGGCGGAAGGATCATCGGAGCCCAGCAGGTCGAGGCTGTGGTGGCCGGGAGCGGCCACTGCACTCCAGTCTGGGCAATGGAGTGAGACTCCAACTCAAAAAAAAAAAAGAAAAGAAAAAAAAGAGGCAAGGGTACCATCAGGGGTGTCCAGAGAATGGTCCTGAGAAGCACTCGGGGGTCTTCCTGGAGGAGTCCTTGTGGACTTTGCAGAAGCCGGGCCTAGGGACTACTGGTAGTAATGGAGAGAAGACTATGGCACCTCTTCCCAGCTGCCACTGGCTTAGGAGAGCCCTGATGAAATTCAGACGTCTTCAGGAAGGGGTTAGAACTAGCCATTCATGTACCAATCATGCATCTGGAAGGGGTCTGGGTGTTTGTTTTATTTTTCACTTTTTTTTTTCAGTCAGACTGCAGTGCAGAAATGTGATCATAGCTCACTGCATCCTTGACCTCCTGGGCTCAAGTGATTCTCCCACTTCAGCTTCCTGTGTAGCTGGGACTACAGGCGTACACCACCACACCTGGTTAATTTTTATTTTTTTGAGTTGAAGTCTCACTTTGTCACCCAGGCTGGAGTGCAGTGGCACACTCACGGCCACTGCAGCCTCAACCTGCTGGGCTCAGGCGATCCTTCTGTCTCAGCCTTCCAAGTGGCTGGAACCACAGGCGTGTTCCACCACGCCTGGCTAATTTTTTTGTTTTATTCATTGTAGAGACATGGTCTCGCTAAGTTGCCCAGGCTTGTCTAGAACCCCTGGATTCAGGCAGTCCTCTCGCCTCAGTCTCCCAAAGTGCTGTGATTACAGACATGAGCCACTGCACCCGGCACACCTGGTTAATATTTAAAATCTCCTTGTAGAGATGAGGTCTCGCTATGTTATTCAGGCTGGTCTTGAACTCCTAGCCTCAAGCAATTCTGTTTTTGATCTTTTTTTTCCTTTTAAATGTTAAACCTATAGAAAAACAGAGCAATGTAATGGATGCTCACATACCCACCACCTAAAATCAACAGGTGTGAACATTTTGCTGTTGGCTTCATCTATTTTTATGCTGAACTATTTAAAGAAAATGATAGATGTGATGACTTTTTACCCCTAAATACTTTAAAGGCATCTCTAAAAATTAAGTTCCCTTGATCTTAAACACCTTTCTAAAAAGCAGCAGACCATTTTATTAAACGAGGTATGCCGCGGAGAGCTGCACAGAGCTGTGCCCGGGATACACCCGTCTCAGAGCAGCTGAATGTGTACATCTGGAACTCTGGACAGAGGCTGCAGTTGGAGGTCCGGGCTGGGATGTGTTGGAGACATAAGACTAAGTGAGGTCGCTTGGGAGTCAGTGGAGAGCGAGAGGAGGAGGCCCAGGATGCTCCAGGATGGGAGAGAGGCCTGCAGAGGAGGCCGAGAGGATGGACAGTCACCGGGCAAGATGATAACTAGGCCGTAGACAGGGAGCAGGATGGAGGGCGTCTCTGGGCCCAGAAGAAGGAAGTGTCTCAGTGAGGGGGTGGCAACCCTCTGCGGCTGAGAGGCTGAGGATGGAGAAGCGACCATCAGACTTGGGACAGGTGTGGAACCAAGGCACAGCACCGGCACTGCTCACCCAACAACTGGGCCTCACAACTTACAGATCTGGAAACTGAAGGCCATAGAGGGAGGGGGAGGGGCCTGAGATCACGCCATGAGCGGAAGGGCAGCACTAACGCCAGCCTTCCCCTCAGGCCGCAAGCCGGACCTTCAGGCCTCAGTTTCCTGCTGGTGATGCCCTTGCAGAGGGTCACCAAGTACCCACTCCTGCTGCAGAAGATGCTGGAGAACACAAGCCCCAATGCCAGCGCCTATCCTGTCCTCCAGAGAGCCGTCTCTGCCATGCAGGACGTGAATGCCAACATCAATGAGCACAAGATGCGCAAGGAAGTAGGTGAGGACCGGGGCCGGCAGGGGACACATCTGCGAGAATGTGGCCAGTTACAGAAAATGCCCCACAGGCTGACTTCGCCATAGAGAGTGCAGTGGCTGGGGTGGCTGTAACTCTAGAGGCAAAGCGGGCTTTAGGTAGGGGTTGATCAGGGTGCTGGTCCCATTTCTCTCCAGCTTTCTTGTCTGCTCTTGGCTGTGCCAGCTTCCTCTTCAGGCTGGCTTCCCTCATGGTAACAAGTGACTGTGGCTGTGCCAAGACTTGCTTCTGTACACCCCACTCTCCAGGGGAAGGCAGGGCTTTTCAAAAATTAAACTGAAGCTTCCCTCCAGTAAGACCCACTGGGGTCACAGGCTTATCCTGAGCCAGTCACCAAAGCCGGAGTGACATGAGCTGATTGGCTTGGGCCTGGGTTATGTACCTGTCATCGAACCAATCACTGTTGCTGGAGGCTGGGATTATACTGATTGGCATATACCAGGCAGTGCCCACCCTGTCCAAAGTGAGGCCAGCCCTGTCCAAAACACAAGATTGTTGTGCTGGGAGGGGTAGCCCTAGCTGGCCGAGTAAGTGTACTGGGGAGAGACATCTCTGACTCTCAGATTGCTGAAACAGAAAGTGTTGGAACACAAAACCTCAAGAACAGAGAAGCCCAACTGCACAATTGAGATGATATGAAAATGGCAGTTTAGCCCACGTTTACTCAGAGCCAGAGACGTGCTTCCTGCATGGTCACCCTCAAGCCTTGCACCAACTCTCTGTGGCCAGCTCTGCTAGCCCCATTTCACAGTCGGATAAGGCGAGGGTTCACATCACCTGCTCCTGGCACAGCACCGGTGTGGGACAACGCCAGTGCCCACACTCAGGCCTGGGAGCTTCACGCCATGCCCCACTGTATTGGCAGCTTGGGATTTCCCCTATGTGCTTCCCCTTCCAGGTCGCGAGGTGACAGGTCCATAGGAGCCTGAGTCAGGGGTGGCAAGCGTGGGTCCTGCTGGGGACTCAGGTAGATCCTCTCACCGGGGTCTTCCTAGCAGGTCCACTCAGACCCTCTGTGTTAGCTGACCCTCCCCCAGTCCTGTGAGGTGGCTACCCTCATTTTACAGAGGAGGAAACTGAGACCCCAAGGAGTGGTGACTTGCCAGAGCCAAGCAGACAGGAGGCTTAGAGCTGGACGGAGGACCCTGTGCTTCTCCAAGCGACTCTCCATTCAATAAACTTGATCCTGACGGGGGCAGAGGGCCCATGTGGGTGTCCAGCCAGGTGTGGGCCATGCTTGCTTCCCCAGGGAGGCTCTGGTCACCGGGATCCCTTTTTTCTGTGGGCGCAGCCTCCAAGTACACCAAGGTGGAGCAACTGACCCTTCGGGAGCGGTTGGCCCGCATCAACACACACACCCTCTCCAAGAAGACCACCCGTCTGAGCCAGCTGCTGAAGCAGGAGGCGGGGCTGGTGCCCAGGGTGAGCAGGGTTGAGAGGACGGCACACCCCAGCCACTCCTGTGGGAGGGATAGGAGGCTTAGGTTCCCTTCAGAAGCAAGGCCATGGAGGCTGAGAAAATCAGGTGCCAGGGACGGCGGAGTCGGCCCCCTGCCTGACTCTAAGAGCCTGTGTGGGGCTCTCTCCCCTGTGTCTGGGCCACTGGGTCCCTGAGGCCTCTTCACACAGATGGGAGAGCCAGTCTCTGGGTCTGGGCTGAGAACCAGCCTCAAATCACGACTGGAAGCAGCTGAGGTTGACAGAGGGCTTACTCTAACCCACATAGTGAAGTAAGTGTTCTTGTTAGCTCCATTTTGCAGATGAGAAAGCAGAGGCTCAGAGAGGGTAAAAATCTCACCCACGGCCACACAACTGGGAAGCCAGTGAACCAGGCTTAAAGTTCCTGTGTCTGATTCTGTGGTCTGAATGCAAGACCACTGAGCTGCACTCCCTTCTGACTGTCCATTCAGCCCGGGGGTGGAGAACCAGCCTAGGTGGGCAGGTCTATGGATAGGTGATCCCCTGTGAAAACTCAGGACTTGGGCGTGTGGGACTCTTCCACCCTCACCTACCTGACTTCACTTTCAGACCAAAGACAAGGAATTCGATGACTTAGAGGAGAGGTTCCAATGGGTGTCCCTGTGTGTGACTGAGTTAAAGAACAACGTGGCCACTTACCTGGATAATCTGGAGGTAAGGACCCCAGAGGCTAGTAAAGGGAGTGACTGGACTGGGTTCCCTGGGTAATCTGGAAGTAAAGGACACCTCTTGGGAGGTGATAGGGTGGACAGTGTGTGTTCCTGTCAAGGTTGTAGGGAGCCTGGACACCTCCCGAAAGGTGATAGGAGAGACTGTGGGCATCCCTGTCACAGGATGTGGGGAGCCCAGACACCTCTCTGGGAGGTGATAGGGTGGCCTGTGTGTGTCCCTGTCACGGGGTGTGGGGAGCCCGGACACCTCCCTGGGGAGTGATAGGATGGACTACATACATTCCTGTTGGGTGTGGGGGGCCTAGACACCGCCCCAGGAGGTGGGAAGGGGGGATTCAGGTGTAAGTGGCCACAACAAGCCACGATCACTGTCTTCCTTGGTCCTGGGTCCAGACCTTCCTCCGCGTCAGGCCGCACGAGCACAGCCTGGACATCCCAGTGGGGCCCACGGCACAGTACTGTTCCCTGGCCAGAGACCTGCAGCGTGAGGCCTTCCTGACGTTTGTGAGTTGGGCTTCTCCTGTCTTCCTTCTGTGTTCAGGGGCAGTAGAGCCGATAAGGACAATTCTTAGACGGAAGGTACTTGACGCTTACCACGGTCACAACTGCCCCGTGGCAAAGCAGTGTGTTTCACTGGTGAAAATAGCCAACGCACATTCCCAGAGCCTTGCTCTCGGCCAAGCCCTGGACTAAGCCCTGTGTGCTCTGCCTCATTTAATCCTCACCATATGGCTTTGGGGGTGGGTACTATGGATAGCCCCGTTCTGCAGATGGGCCCTAGAGACTCAGAGAGGGCGACCTTCTGGGTCATCTGGGCAGGGTCAGTGCAAGCTGGGAGCCGCCCCAGAGACTATGCTCTCGCCACCAATCCACGTGAAATCTTTCTTAAGGCCAGGCATGGTGGCTCACACCTGTAATCAAAGGACTTTGGGAGATGGAGACAGGAAGATTGCTTGAGCCCAGGAGTGCAAGACCAGCCTGGGCAACATAGAGAGACCCTGTCTCTACAAAATAAAAAAGTTTAACTGGATGTGGTGGCTCACGCCTATAATCCCATCACTTTGGGAGGCAGAGGCAAGAGGATTGCCTGAGTCTAGGGGTTCAAGACCAGCCTGGGCAACTTGGTGGGATCTTGTCTCTACCATAAATAAAAAAATTAGCAGGTGGGGTCCAGTTACTTGGAAAGCTGAGGCTGAAGGATTGCCCGATCCTAGCAGGTTTAGACTGTGATGGCCATGAGCGTGCCACTGTACTCCAGCCTGGGTGACAGAGTGAGACTCCAACTCAAAAAATAAATATATTTTTTATATTTATAGTTTTATCATAGTGTATTTTATATTCTATTAATTTTTTATATTTATTTTATTTTCTATAAATATATGTATTTATATATATATAATTTGTCAGGCATGGTGGCAGACACCTGTTGTCCTAGCTACTCCAGAGGCTGAGGCAGTTGGACCACTAAAGTCCAGGGGTTGGAGGCTGTAGTGAGCTATGATCACACCACTGCACTCCAGCCTGGGCGACAGAGTAAGATCCTGTTTCTAAAATTAAAAACCTTTCTATATATATTTTCAAGATCTTTGCACAGTAACCATACTAAATATCATGTATTGAACTACCACTCTGTGCCAGGCTCTGTTAAGCTCAGGACACATGTCATGCCCATTTTTCAGATGGGCATATTGAGGCCCGGAGAAGACAGACAACCGCAGAAAGCCCCCGCTGGCCTGTGGGGGTGGGAGGAACCCCCGCCAGCCTGCTTCTCAAGCCCCCTCTCCCAGCCCCACCCTCTGCCGTCGCCTCCCACAGAAGCAGCGGCTGGAGGGCCTGGTGTGGCGGCCGCTGTGCAGCCTGGCCCGAGCCCTGGTCGGCCCCCAGAACCTGATCAAGAAGCGTCTGGACAAGCTCCTGGACTTCGAGCGGGTGGAGGAGAAGCTGCTAGAGGCGGGCAGCGTGAGCTACGAGGAGGAGGCCACACGGCACACATACCAGGCGCTCAATGCCCTGCTGGTGGCCGAGCTCCCGCAGTTTAACCAGCTGACCCTGCAGTGGCTGCGCCAGGTCCTGTGCACGTTTGTGACCCTCCAGAAGGACCTTTCGGAGCAGGCGCTGTGGAGGGCAGAGGGCAGCGCGGCCCAGGTGAGGCCGACCAGGACGCCTCCTGGCAGGGCTGGAGAGAGGGAGGCTGGGCCTTTGGAACAGGCCACTGGGTACCTCGGAGGAGGTGGTGGGACCCTTCTAGGTTCTTCTCACACCTGTTGCCCCTCCACGAGTGAGTCAGACCATGAAGCAAGGAGAGGACTGGGGCTCCGGGCCATTCCTTGGGCCTGCAACTAACAGAGGAGGGCCGGGTGCAGTACACCTGTAATCCCAGCACTTTGAGAGGCCAAGGTGGGAGGATTGCTTACATTCAGGAGTTTGAGACCAGCCCGGTGACATAGCGAGACCTCGTCTCTACAAAAAATCAAAAACGTAGCCAGGTGTGCGCCTGTAGTCCCAGCTACCCGGAAGGCTGAGGAGGAGGATCGCTTGACCCAAGGAGGTTGAGGCTGTGGTGAGCCGTGATCATGCCACTGCACTCCAGCCTGGGTGACAGAGAGTGAGATCTCAACTCAGTATAAATAAATACACAGAGATGGCTTTGCTGGGACTGCAGCAGACCTTGGGACCAATCCCTAGAGTGTGTTAGAAGTTGGCAACAGAAACAGATGGTCCCTTCTGCACAGTCAGGAGTTGATGTCTCAAGCTGGCATCCCACTGCTGTTGCTACTGCAGTCCCCACTTTCTCTGAGCACTTTCTGTGTGCCTGTAGGGAGCACTTCCATGTGTGTCACTTGCTGGTACCTGTGGGGAGTGCTCGCTTGCTTTGTGCCTGTTAGGAGCACTCACTTGCTGTGTACCTGTTAAGAGACTCATTTTCTCTGTACCTGTCAGGAGTACTCACTTGCTCTGTACCTATGAGGAGTACTCACTTGCTGTGTACCTGTTAGGAGCACACACTTGCTCTGTACCTGTTAGAAGCAGCATAACTGTCCTCTGTCCCTGTCCCCGTGTCCCCTCTGGGCCGGCTGATTCTCAGGCAGGTTTTTTTCTGCATGGCAAGGTTTATGGCTGACAGCGTCAAGCATGTACCACATACCTTCTCCCCCGGAGGAAGCATGGCCCTATCATCTCAGCTTCACACACTTGATCTTGTGGCAGGGAGGGTCTACTGGCATGGCTCGGACCATGATCCATCACCTGGGCCGGTCATCAGAGACAAGAGGAAGGAATGCCCTGACCACTTGTCCTATGGCTCGAGCACCATGCTGGGCAGTGCTGCTGGACCTCACAGAGGGACGCTTTCTTACAGAGGTGGTGGGCCTGGATGCAGACAAAAGCAATAGGCCCGGATAAGGCCCATGTTAACACAGTCGGGGTTAGGGTGTGGGCAGCTGCATCTCCTGTCCCCTCTCACCCAAAGGATGCCCTGTTGACAGTGTCTGTCTCCACCCAGCTGCCCCACCACCACATCTTGGAGCCAGCCTTCAGGAAGCTGGTGGAGGACACACTGGGCCAGACCAGTAACCAGCTCCGCTGCTTTCAGGAGACCTTTGAGAAGGTGCTGCCACCTCCCATAACACAAGTAAGTGTCCCCCAGCAAAGACTGTTCTGTTTTTTACCTGCACGTGGGAGCGGCTCAAGCCCTTCCTCCCTTTCCTTTTCCCAATGCTTCCTGTTGCCCACAGAAATGTTTTCACTTCCCTTTCTCTCTCCTCTCTGGGAGCTGGTTGGGCATGGTGGAACCCACACCCACAAGCACACATCTCTTCATGGCCGAGAAGTAGAGATCATTATAGAACTCTTGGGTCAAGAACAAGAAAATCCAAACATGTCAAATTTTTTTTTTTTTTGAGTTGGAGTCTCACTCTGTCACCGAGACTGGAGTGCAGTGGCTGCTCCCGGCCACCGCAGCCTCAACCTGCTGGGCTCCAGCGATCCTTCTGCCTCAGCCTTCCAAGTAGCCAGAACTACAGGCGAGCACTACCACGCCCGGCTAATTTTTTTTATTTATTGCAGAGATGAGGTCTCACCAAGTTGCCCAGGTAGGTCTCGAACCCGCGGGCTCAGGCAATCCACTCACCCTGGCCTCCCAAAGTGCTAGGATTACAGGCTGAGCCACTGAGTCCAGCCCAAACATGTCAATTTTAAGTAGAATTAGACATAACGATGGGCAAGTGGCTCTAATGTCCCAACACCTGGAACATCAGCAAATTTGTCCCCAAGATGTGTCCTTTTCCCTTTCCACTTTCCAATACCAGCTTCAATATAAGCATTCAAGATGAATAAAAAGTTTGAAGAAGTCGTGTTAGGCAGGGGGTCATTTAGCCATTTGAGAGACTGAGGAGGGAAGACTGCTTGAGGCCAGGAGTTCGAGACCAGCCTGGGCAACATAGTGAGACCCCCCCATCTACACACACACACATACACACACATACACACACACACACACACACACACACACACGCCAGGTGTGGTGGTTCTCACCTGCAGTCCCAGCTACTCAGGAAGTTGAGGCAGGAGGATTGCTTGAGCCTAGGAGTTTGGGACTGCAGTGAGCTATGATCATACCGTCGCACTCTAGCCTGGGTGACAGAGTGAGACTCTTTTTTTTTTAAACAAAAAAAATCATTTAAATTTCCTTTGCGCTATGGTATTTTTTAATTGCAAAGGACAGTATTTCTTTGCAATGACATGATTACATGATGGTTTACAGAGGTTTGGCTTTGTTTACTCTATAATACAGGGAAAGGGCATCTTCTAGTCACTTGAAGAGTACACACAGGTGGTGTATGTTTTTCTTTTAACCTTATTTTAGAGATAGGATCTTGCTCTTTTACTCAGACTAGAGTGCAGTGGTGGGTTCATGGCTCACTGCAGACTCAAACTCGTGGGCTCAAGTGATCCTCCTGTTTCAGCCTCCTGAGTAGCTGGAACTATGGGAGCATGCCATCATGCATGGCTAATTTTTAAAAAAACTTTTTGTGGAGATGGGGTCTTGCTACATTGCCCAAGCTGGTCTCGAACTCCTGGGCTCAAGCCATCCTCCTTTCTTGGCCTCCCAAAGTGCTGGAATTGCAGGTGTGAGCCACCTGTGCTTGGTCACAGATGGTCTATGCTCTAAAAGTAACTGCAACGGCTGTAGGAAGAAGGGGATTCCAGACTGTGACAAGGCATGGATTTGAGAAACAGAAAACTGTGTGCCCTCACAGGTGAGATGTGACGTGAAGGTCAGGATAAAGCCCCAGGATCCCCAGAGGAAGGGGGGGGCCCAAGGGCCCAGCAGAACTGGGCAGATAAAAGCAGCCTTCACACATAGTTGAAGCTTCAAGCATGTGAGACCACCAGGGACTGATGGGTGCCCTGACAGGGAGGCTGGCTCCTCCTGGGCCATAGCTATGCCCGCCTCCCACCCACCCTGAGGGTGGCACCCACAGAGGTCTTATGGGGTGCTGGGCCCTGCAACTCAGGGGAGACCGGGGTGCAGAGACAAAGACCAGAGCATGCACTCGGGGCTGTGAGGGCTCCTCTCTTTACTTAAAGCAAATTAAAATGACACTTTCGTGTTGGGAAACCCATGTGTACTTATTGTAGAAAAGTTAGAAGACAGAAAAGCCGGGCTCGGTGACTCAGCCTGTAATCCCGTGCCTTTGGGAGGCTGAGGTGAGTGGATTGCCTGAG